ACTAAACCCCCCCGCCCAGTCTTGTACGAAAACCACCACCTAATCTAGCGCTAACCCTCCCTGCCCAGCCTAGCACTGATACCCCTACCCAGACTAGTACTAAAAAACATATTCTTTCTCTTTGCCTGAAAGGGCTGACCCTTGCTGGAATATGGTTTCTATAGGAGTTGGTCAGCCTCCAATAACTCAATCAAAAGGCCTTTCATTTTTACGTGGAAAATATGTTAAAAGTATGTGGAATGCAATGCACATTCTCTCCTCAGAGGGACACACTCTGCTTTCCTAATTCCAAAGAGTATTAAGTGCAGATTGCGAAGGGCCAAGGCTTGGGGACACCAGAGTGTGCATTGAGGTACCAGTGCAGTTTAACCACCTAAAACCCAATAGCGTGACATCGACTGATGCAAGACAATTCAACATCCCTGACTTCCCACACATACACTTCCCAGTCGGAATCGCTGGACAATTTTAATGCTAATGTCAGTAGATGGCTGATTTTGACCAACCACTTCCCTTGCCCAGGGGGTACGAGGGCAAACTGTAATACCTGAACTACCGTCCTGGCTGAGATCAGCTAACTCAGCACAGGTTAGGCATCTGATCTCTGACCCCTCTGGTCTGCAACAGCTTAGTGCTGCACTTGGCGAGGCTCTTACTCAGTAAGCCTGGCTTCCCGTCATCTTAAAACTCCATTACTCAGAAATGGGTTTTGTGCCTCTGGTTTGCAACTGTGCATCTGCAGCAATTGATCCTCGGTCTCAGTGCAACCAGAGACCGTTAATTGCTTATTGCCTGCCAGGGGTGGCGGAAATGTAAGTCTGGCTGCATTGATGTGGCGGCAAGACTTTCTGTGTGTTTCGTAAGTACAACGCTCAAAAGATCATTAACCGCATTCATTGTTCATAATTGCCCTTTTTGTGTTTTACTTATAGAGTTAGATTTTCCATCACAGACAGTTGATCGAAACCTTCAGGGAATGGGAGCGAGTTCAGAAACCAAAGCGTATTGTGCTCTGCGCGCAATCTACGCTTCCCTCGATGAATGAGGACTTAAGCCAGCGAATAGAAATTTGACGGTTATATTTGGCATTTTCACCGACAAAGCATCCAATGGCACCCACATTAACTCATTCTGTTTTTGGTCGTCCTGTGCATTGCACATCTCGCACGTGTGGAAGCTCAACCCCATGCTTAAAAGCATCCCAACCAGACCACACGTGTAGCCCACCTATGCATGGAGATTTCCCTGTGTCTAAACAGGAACGCCAGCTCTCTCTCCAGAGGAATATACCCCCTTTACCTAATTCCGTAGAGTATTAGGTTGGCAAGAGACCAGGCTTGAGGATCCCAGTGTGTGTGTTGGGGTATTGCTGGAACTTAACCAGCTAAGACCACATGGCTTGCCGTTGAAAGCACTCTGGTAAGCCTTCTGCTACCTATCCAGCATGTGACAGGCAAGCCACCATGATGTTCTACGTCCAGTGCCATGTGCCAAGCTTACCCAAGTAAGGTAAGCTAATAAACATAGGTTAATGGGTTTTTACACCTTTCATACCCTTTTTCTTTCTTGTAAACCTTAATCCCTGTCCTCAAGCGAGGGGCTTTGACAAATTGACTAGCCCACTGTGATGCTGACTCAGCCTCCAGGATACGGGCAACGGGTCATTGAACGCTGAAACCCTTCCTCCCTGAAGCTGTTTCCCCTTTTTCTCACAATTCCACCCTACTGCTCCTTCCTGGATTTCATAAATGGGCCAAAGGAAAGCTTTCCTCTGCGCGCGCAGCAGCTCAGAATCGTGCAGGAGAACTGTTTAAACCCGTATCTTATACGCCATAGGTTTATCTGCATTGGGACTTTGTGGTTCTTGAAGAGAGACGAGAATGTTTCCCATATAAAATAGATGCCCGCTAGTCATAGCTACAGTAGTTTACTCTTTCAAACGACCGCAGTTGTCTTATCTCGTAAAAGATGCAGGGTTGCTGAGTTAGCTTTCATTTCTTTTCTCCTTTAGGAAAATGCTATTAACTCTAAAGATTTTGTCATAAATTGACAAAAGAAAAATGGAATGAAAGGTGTAAAAACCCATTAACCTATGCATATTAGTTTCTAATACATCGTAGCGGCAAACCTTCAATGAAAATGTGATTACATTCATCGTGATTATTCCGAAGCTGGGGATATATTAATAAGTAGGAGAGAATAGAATCGTACATTAATGTGGTCTCAAATGAACTCTGATCTTGGGAGCAACAAGATCCTGAAGTGTACTCGGTTCTTGACATTGCAAATTGCAGGGTTGAAACATAAGCAATTGTCACTCGTTACTTGAACTTTAGATTGTCTTTATTGCTTTCCATTTCCAGTTATCTGCGTTTTCAAATAAAAGGCACTGCAAAATTCCGCTTGTATTGCTCCCTTCACGTCAGGAGGAGGCCCTAAGGTGCTGGACAGTCAGAGATTTCAACCCTAGCGAAAGGGGGGGACGTGGGATAAGGGAGGGTGGAGGGTTGCCGAAGGCACAGTTGAAGAAGAGGGTCCTGAGAATAATATGTTTTCAATAATAATTCAATCTGGGATGATTAGAGCTATCTCTGGGCCTTGCACAGCATTGATAAATAATAATCCTTGTATTCGATGTGGCGCCTTTTTGCGTCGGGAGGATGTCTTCAAGCATTTCACAGGGATTACTGTGAAATGTAACGACCGGGCATTTTGTAGGTGAAGGAGGCAGCCAATTTGTGCGCAGCAACGTCACAGCAACAAACAGCCATGAAGTGAATGAACAATTTTATTTGGGCGATTGTTGCCCAGGCACTAGGAGGAACTCCCTTCTCTTTTCCGTGAAGTAGTGCCAGGGGATCTTTTAATGGCCACCTGACCAGACAGACGCCATCTCAGTTTCACGTCGTATCTGAAGGATGGCACCGGCAACAATCCAGCACACCTTCAGCTCTGCACTGTAGATGCATATTCGAACCAATAGAAATAATGATAATAATTATTATCTTGCATAATTCTTGCATTTGGCAAAGGCCCCTGTAACATGACCGTTCTGACGTGCTTCGCAGAATTGTATCTGCGACCGGCAGTGAACGTACCTGAAGGAAACGTTTGGGTTAATCTGTGGAGGAAAAAAAAACCTTGCGATAAAGGAATGGAAAGGATGGTACTTGTTGTGTGTTATATCCTTTGTAGCCTTGTTGAGCAAAGTTGTGAAACACCAGTGTCGTTTTATTTATTCAATAAGGAAACATGTATAAGTGTGGATGGAATTGAAGTAGGACTGATATGAAAACTACACGCCAACATCTCACCCGTGTTGTCAGAACCTTTAAATCAGCTTATTTCCTAAGTGTTTCGTTTGATTCGTTTCTTTTCATCAGTATTCACACGGACACTTTTCTACTTTAAAAGGCCATTGAAACGACAGCCACGTTCTGTAGATGGCACACACAAAGACCATTTGCGCAAATTAATATGTAAGTGAACATCGGCTTCCCTCCTTGTACTAGGAAAGGCAAGAAGCAACCACTAAACATTCAAGTTAAGTTTACCAGTGAAATATCAAAGTACTTTTGTTTTAACCCCCCAAATCCTTAATATCACTCGGTAACTGGGTGGAACAAACGCATTCAATAGATGTCAAAACACTTTTTGATTTGCTGTGAGGCCCTTATTCCATTGCCATTTGTTTCCAATCCGATTTCAGTGAAGAATAATATCAATCATTTGCATCCGATGCGGGGGTTATAGTGTCGAGAACATCTGCAAGTGCATTGCAATGTTCCTGCCAAGTGTAGTGATTGGGTATCGATACATCCACGCAGCCGATTTGCAAACGGGAATATCCAACGAACGGCTGGTAAGCGAATGACCGTATTTAATCTGGAGGCTTGTCCAATCGATACTGCATTGAATCGCGCCGTGGGAGGTCTTTGCGACATGAGGGGGCGCTGGACGTGTGGAGTTTGTTTGTTGTTTAGCATCCACCTGAATAGGAAGCCTGTGCACAAATCTCACCCAAAGGGCAAGATTGATAGTTGTGATGTCTGGAGGAATAACAGCAACAATAACAACATTGCATTGAAATAGCATCCCTCGCGCGTGGTAATGTCTCAGAGCACTTTTTTTAACCCTTCCTCGACTGCCTTTTCGCACTCATAAACCACACACCGCCCACTGAAACAATTCTGCAAGAAATTCTAAACCTGTCACTACTCACTTGCAGCAGGAGCAGAGCGAGCAGAGTCTTTTGCGGACGTGGGCTGAACGGGAAAGGGTGGGGGGGACAAGTTCGCAGGGCTACGGGGTGAGAGCGGGGGAGTGGGGTTGATTTGGAAGCTCTTTTCAAAGAGCCAACACAGACACGATGGGCCGAATGGCATCGTTTTGGGGTAGGCGGTAGCCGGGCAAAAGGCAAATTGGATTCCTCCTTAGCAATGGAGGAAATATTCAGCGAAAGAATGTCTTAGGAGCTGGGCGGCATTGGTGGAAATAAATGACTTGCTCGCTGATTGTCTTGGTAGTCAATACATAGACCGGGGAGCTGAAGAGGGTGCACTGAGGCCTTTAAACATATATTGACGTGGGACAAGGTGGCAGAGCCCCACTTTGAAAGCGAATAAACCTCTGCCTGATTGCTCGGCCTCTGCGTGAATCACAGGTACCTGTGGTCTCTAACGCAGTGTTATTAATCTTTGCCAAAGGTTTGGAATTTGAAATTAATTTAAGCACAGGAAGATAAATACGCTCAATTACACCCTCTTCCTTTTCGGGTTGATGCGGTTCGGTTGTAATAGATTGCACTGCTTTTAATAACCAAAATATATATATTTTTTCGCGTCGATCACGATGAGTGATTATCCCGGCCTCGCGGAGGGAACTCACTCTTCGATTATTTTATCTTATTTTATTTACTTTTTTACTCGTAGTTTCCCAATTTGCCGCGCACACAGCTCTCGGTCGTACGTCATTCACTCTTCGCCTTTTGTGTTTTGCAGTGCGAGAAGAGTACGTGGCGACTTTTAAAGGATCTGAATACTTCTGCTATGACCTGTCGCAGAATCCAATCCAGAGCAGCAGCGACGAAATAACATTATCGTTCAAAACCCTTCAGAGGAACGGCCTGATGCTTCATACAGGGAAATCCGCCGATTATGTAAATCTGGCTTTGAAAGACGGTGCTGTCTCACTGGTCATTAATTTGGGGTCAGGAGCCTTTGAAGCTTTGGTGGAGCCTGTGAATGGAAAGTTTAATGACAATGCCTGGCATGATGTGAAAGTAACAAGGAACCTTCGTCAGGTAACAGTACAAATGGATGATGCGGGAAAAAAAAATGCTCTATTTTTTTTTGCGAAGAACAATTTTCAACAGGCGTTATTTTATTTTTCTTTGACAAAACGACCGGTCTCCAAGAAGCAAAAAAAGAAACATGGTCGGTCGCACGATCTTCAAATTTAGCCACAGCAGGAATTGGAGACCGTAAATTATTGCGCGTGTTTTTTGAAGGCTATTCAAACGGATACCCGGTTAGGTTAGTGTAATTTCGCAAACACCAGAGCAAAGAGCAGATCTAGAATTCTGTTTCAGGGTCAAAATCGCAATAGGATCTGACGCACGTCCCTGCGCTGCTTTGCCACGATTGGGGGGTGGGCGGGGGGTGGGTGGGGGGGGAAAAGATGCTGAAAATCCACTTGTTTCCGGGCTGTATGTTATTAGTAAGTCACTTGGCCCTTGTAAGCCGTAAGGGAGAGGGGGGGATAGAAGGTATGTGAGGGAGTAATGAACTGGCGGAGACTCGTGTGGAATATAAATACCGGCACGGACTGGTTGGGCTGAGTGACCTGTTTCCGCACCGTACGCGATTTGTCAGCGTACGTCATAGCCCAGGCTAAAATTGTCCCCCCCGCAAAAAAAAATTACGAAGAGGAAGAGTTTTGATCAAACAAAATCGCGACTTCTACCGGCGTCTGGAACCGTTCAACCGATCCAAAGGTTTTCTGTCTTTCCATTTTGTTTCACGCGCCAGATTTACGCAACGTCCCCCTTTTTTTTTGTTTATTTGTTTGTTTTGACGTGAATGATGCACCAGACGATTTACTGGCGCGAAATGAGCGTACGGTGGTGAGAAACAAGCTGAGGGAGGTTTCTGAAACCACTGCTGCCTCAATCATCGGTACTTGAGATACAGCAGGCATTGTGGAGTCCTGTAGCTCAGTGGTTAGAGCACTCGCTTTGCAAGCGAGAGACCTGAGTTCAATTCCAGGCAGAGGGCGAAACCTTGGGCAAGTTTCCTTACCCCACACAGAGCCTAATAATAATCCCTCCAAAACCAAAAACAATAATAAATTGGTCATTTTCAATCCACGACTGTCTGTGGGACATTGCTGTGCGCAATTGGCTGCCGCGTTCACCCACAAATATACAGTCAATTCACTTTACAGTGTGTTCTGTGAAGCGCTTTGGGACGTCCTCCCGACGTGAAAAGCGCTATATCAAATGCAAGGATTATTATTATTATTATTCTGTTCAGTGTGCTTTTAATCTGGAATGTCGTGTCTTTCCAATTACTTAATTAGCGCGGGTGATAGGGGGAGGGGGGGGTGGGGTAGGGGGGGAAAAAAAAATTAAAACCCCGAAGAGCACTGTACTTGGCTTCTGAGGGGAGGTGAGCAAATGGAGAGGACGTCTCTGTTTCCTTGTCTCATTAAAAATAATGGGTGCGCAAGTGTGCGTTAGGAAGCGTTCTGGTTCTTCGCGTTTTTTTTTTACCAGGAAGATGAATGGCGACCGCTAAAAGTAACACGAAAATAAAAGTGAGCTGATCAAAGAAATTCATCAGAAAAGCAGGTCCGCTGATTTTCTCGGCGTTTGGTTCTTTTTTCATTACTTTTTCTTTTCTTTTTACCGGCATTTGCAATGCAGATAGGAGAGGATTAAAGGATTAAAGAAGGTTATCTCTCGGGCTCGACGGTCAGTCTGATGGCACAAGAAAGCGTCGGCTGTTTGCTTGTAAAGTTAAGGTGGTTTCACCGAGGAGGATTTATACTGTCGCCAGTCTTCTCTCCCTCTCCACCAACGCCCACCACCCGCCGCCAACGTCTCTCCCTAAGACCCCGACTCCTTCAGGGGGCAGGCTCCCCAGGCCCGGGCTACCCTCCAGTTCCTTGATGAAGGAGCCATTCTTCACACTCAAGTGAAGCATCGATTGCTGGCAGGTTATTCATCTACGTGGAGGATCGCAGCTGAGATCGATCCTTCCTCACTTGTCCTGTTTCCTCTGCCACTCTTTTCTCCGGCGGTGCTTAAAATCCCGGCGAGAGGTTAGGGTTCCAGCCAGTTTAACAGCAAAAATCTGACGATTAGCCTGTTACCATTTATGCCATTGATGACGTGACTGGGTGTGTTATTCCAGACGTGGAGTTCAACTGTCGAAAAAAACAATCACCGGCCCCTGGGTAAATCTACCTACATGGCAAGTAAAGTCGCTTATAATTTTGCAAGGAGTAAAGCTTGCGACTTACTACGCCAGCTGCCAATTAACAACTTGTGCTCACTAACTCTGGACGTATCGCTGCGTGAAAACGGGCAGAACAGTGACATTCTGGGACTTGCATCAGAGCTGTGATCTCGGATGGTTTATCCAGTTTGTTACCGATTTCTCTCTCGTGACTCTGAATTTCCCAGCACGAGATACTCACTGGGTTGTGTTAGCATTTTGTTCACTCAGGCTCTGGGCTCTCTTTTTCTTCTAATCTGCTGCATCTATATTTCTTTGCAGTCTTCCTAATTGTCCTTCGATTTCCGCTACTGGTTCCTATTTCCTCTTACTCGCCAAAAACACTTCGTACCACCTTTATTCCGCTCTCTCCTTCTGTGCATGTCTTCTTCGTTCCACAGTCCTGTAAGTTCTTGCGGGGGCTAGCGTCAAATTAAACTCTTTCACAGAAAGTCTTACTTCTTCAGACCTGAACCCTGCAAACTTACAGCTCTCCAACTATTTTCTCCAGTATCGGAAAATCATAACCTGTTTTCCCAAATTCCATCCCTTTCAATAATAGCTGCTTGCTCTTGGAGTTAGTACAGGGTCACTCTCCATCAACAATTAGAAGACCACATTACCACCTTTCCGCATTTACGTTACCTGTTTCTACTTCCTTGGCTTAATTGGAAGTCCTAGTCTGTCTTTACCTTGTGTCATGTTTAATATTTCATCCTCTTCGATGAGGGTCTCCCTCAGTAAAATTTGGATTGAGTCTTGCCGCTCTTCTCTTTGCTTTGATTTACCATAAGCCTGTCCTTTTGTAGGGTGCGGTGAAACAAACCGAACATTGTATCCTAAATGTGGTCTGACTGGTGCACTGGATTTCTGCTTTTGCTCACAGGCTCCTAACATGCTCTGATTCTATGCTATTCATTGAAGATTTGTATTTAATAATAATAATAATCCTTGCATTTGACATAGCACTTTTCACGTCGGGAGGACGTCCCAAAGCGCTTCACAGAACACACTGTAAAGTGAATTGCCTGTATATTTGTGGGCGAACGTGGCAGCCAATTGCCCACAGCAATGTCCCACAAACAGTCGTAGATTGAAAATGACCAATTTATTATTGTTTTTGGTGTTGGAGGGATTATTATTAGGCTCTGTGTGGAGTAAGGAAACTTGCCCAAGGTTTCGCCCTCTGCCTGGAATCGAACTCAGATCTCTCGCTTGCAAAGCGAGTGCTCTAACCACTGAGCTACAGGATTTTTTTTGTCATACATTACATTTAACTATGTTCAATTTTGTTCGCAAGGTATCTGTCCAGTTGCACAGGCAGTTTGACAGTACACGAGTGCTCTTTAGTTCTATTTTTTTTTGCTCTCCCACGTTTTGCCTTGGATTTCTACGGCAGCTAGATGAGGTACACGTCTTTCACATGGAATTTCTGTCGAAAGCTTTCTGAAAAATCTAAGCAAACAATGCCAAAGGGAGAGACTCTTTGTATAAGCATCTTCAAAGAAGCCAAGCAGGTTTGTCAAGTTTGATCTTTCGTTTCACCCACTTTTGCTCACAGACTCGTTCCACGCTCCGATCCTATATTATTCATTCGACTTATATTTCTATCAACGTGTAATACATCGCATTTCGCTACCTCACAGTATGTCCTGTGAAATGCTCTTAGACGTCCTCCATAAAGGCACCAAACCAAATGTACGGATTGTTATTTATTATCTTGCCCTTCAAAGTTCATGCCGGCTCTTTCTTATGAGGTTATTGTTGTAGAGGTAGACCTTCAGCCTCTTGCCCTCTTGCACAATTTCACGACTGCTTAGGACTCCTTCCGTTTTTCTGATATTTAGCAGCTCCTCAACCAAATGACTTTGAACCCAGTGCACCTCAAACACACGTTTTAAATAGTATCGAGCTTTCTGCAGTTTTGCGCCTTTGTGGTCATGAATTTCCTTTTTCATGCAAACACTTTTTTATACACTGTGCAACACTGTTTGGCGAAGCTTTAACTCCGCTGGCAGTCTATCGAGCTATTTTCGTTCCTTCTATTTTAATCCCCACTGCATCCATAAATCAGTCAGATAGTCCCGGTGCCCACTTTCCTTCCAACCATTTGGCATTATGTCTGTCGCTTTGTGTTTCTCAGACTGCCTGACCACTTCCCAAAGCTGCAGGCCTTCCTGTGAAAAGTGACGTTGCAGTACTTTATTTTAATCCACTGTGGACTGCAGGTTTCTAAATGATATTGAAAGACTTCTTCATCAGAATTCGCCCGTGCTTTAACTTGACGGTCGTTCATCTTAAAGGAAAGTACTCTCAATCATTCCAAACCTGGATCTCTTGAGATATCAGTTATTGTATCACCAAGTCTATCTGCGTACTGGCAGACTTGCACCAGTTCGAAAGCAGATGCTGGGTTACATGGTAAGACTTTCAGAGTGGAGAATTGGTCTCCAACCCGTCCAACTTCCCAAAAGATTCCTTAATACGACTTCTATCTCATCACCCGATAGCTCTGAATCCTTGAATATCTAGGCACGTGCCTTGATACTCTTTTGAAACTCTTTCGACCGGAGTTTCTTGGTCCACAACCTGTGCTGGTAGTTCGCTTCACTTGCCTTTCACCCTTGGCTAATGTGATACGAGGAGACTTTGCTGGATTTTGCAAGGCAGCAACGTGTAAGTCCTTGCATGTTTTCACATGCTGTTAGCCTGAAATGAACCCTTTGGCAAGAAGGACCTGCAAACAGTCAGGTCAGGTAGAACCTTCTCCTCTCCTTCACTTTTTCTTCTGCTAAATATTTTCAGATATTATAAGGTGGCCTTTCAATCATCAATGCGTGGCTTTGGCAGGAGGAACCTGCAAGCTGCCAAGTCAGGTGGCACATTTCCCTTTGCTTTGCCCATTCTGTCAAATTGTATTATCCTCCTGGTACTATTATTTTTTGTTTTATTTCCATCAAATAGTAAGCATTTAAAAAGTAGGGACCGATTTCGTAGCTTTACAAAATCAGTGGATTCTGTACCTTTTACGACCTCTCCCACCCCCCCCCCCCCCTCAACCACCCCCTCCCAATCAGTCTACATTTTTTGCAATTATTGTATTCACACACTTTTCTACTTGTATCAATGAACCTTCAAAAGCATTTGAATACTTCCGTAGAGCATTGGGGGGGGGTCTTCCAGTGAGGTCTTTGGACTCTTTCCCTCTCCCCCCCTCTCTCTCTCCTTCTCTCTGTCTCTCTCTCTCTCTCACGCACACACACACACGCGCGCTTACTTAAGAATTGTTATCGAATCAGTGAAGACTCTTTACTCTCCTAACATTTGACAATTTACTCATCTGACGTAAAGTCAGTTCCTGGAGCTTGGATGTTGAGAGCGAGCACCAAAAAAATCATACAGTCCAACGTCGTAATCCACCTTGCCAGGCCGACTCAAGAACACCGGTAAGAAAAAAAAATTCAGCGCTTCAAAACGGCATAGGTATCAGACTGAAGTAAAAACCCTGGAATTAAAGGAACATGATCTCTTGTGCTGAGTTGAAGTCTGAATCAATTGGGGTTAACACTGCGCTTAATCTCAGCCAATAGGCCACAATGCAATGGTGCACTGATGCTCGATAGTCTTGCATGAGGGTAGGAATTGGAGAGACACATCCGTGTCGTTTGGGAGAAACAGGTCCACTACACATTTTTACTGGTTGTCGTGTTGATGTGAGGGCTATATCGGAACATGCAATGCGAACGTGCCTCGCAGTTGCAGATGGAGATGCATTTTGCTTCTTCGGTTCAAAGGTTAGAGAGAGATGAGCAGCGAGTTACTGTTCAACATCAAACGGTTTTACCATCTCCGTTCGAATGGGCTACACTCTATTTCATGTTTTTGAAGACCTGCTTGTTCATTCTTAGCGGAATAAATCTTTTGTCTTGTAAGTGGGAGGCTTTAATTGTCTTCAGGAATTAGACGGAAGTCTAAAAAAAAAACCTGGAACTATTAGCGCTTACTAATTACTTGCCTGCTTACTCACCTGTTAAAAGCCATCTTGGGCGATCCATAATTTTTAATTTACTAATTATTTTGGGCAACGCAAAGCTAATGCCCTCACACCGACCCTTATCTAGATCTGCTTTTTGCTCTGGTTAATAGCTGCCGACTGTGACATTTTGAATGTTCTTCAAATTTACTTAAATCTACAGACTACCTTAGTTGTCTGCTTCGCTGAGCGGATGCAAAGATCTGCTATTCACTCACTTAGCCAGTTTCTTCCTTTAGATTCAGTAAACTGTTCCTTAACTTTGTCAATCTGACTGGAGGAGGTTGAGGAATTGAAAAGGATTTCACGTGTGCTGTAACACGCTTTAGTAGGGTTCTTTCTCTGTGCAATTACTAACACAAACTTGTAACGGGTTGAAATATAAACAGAAAGAAACATCCTTTAGAAATCTGTAAATTGCAGATTTTAAAAAAAAATACAACTTCTTAAACAACAACAATGAAGGTGATGTTTAAACTAACTGTCATGGGTTCAAAGTAAGTATAGAGTCCCTGTTCATGAATAAGGTTTAGCAATATTAACATTTTAATACTGCTATTAATATTATTGATGGCATACTTGTTAGTCTGCTTTTTTTCTTGTAAAATTATTTTGCCTTTTTTATATGTTACTAACATGCTTAATAACTAACATGTCATTCATGGAATGTGTCATTCTACTAACAGTTACCTTAATCAAATAATGTACTAACATGGTAGTGAAACCATCATATTTTTGAGTAACAATCGTTATTCTGTTCACAGTTTTAATTTCCTTTCTCCCCCCCTCTCCGCAAAGCACTCAGGCATTGGACACGCTATGGTAAACAAACTACATTGTTCGGTAGATATCATTCTAATTGTTTCTTAGTTTGGGTTTGCCGTGTGTTTTTCTTTCTTTACCGTAGACTTCATTAACAAAAAGAGGAACTGGGGTTGGTACTCTTCTGCTTACTTTGAAATCCTTCTTTCATCTGTTGTTGATTCTTCTTTATCTGTTTCTATCAAATTCTATTTAAATCACTTCAGGGGCATCGCTAAAAGTTCCGAGCGTTTGCATCAAGCTGCGGTTTTCGGGGGGATCAAGCTAAATGGTGGCTGGCCCTGGGTTCACTGGCTCAGCCAGTTCCTGATCATACACAGTGCATGGCATGCAGACGTGGACTGGGAATGTCTGAAATGCTACACCCATACATCTGTTCTCCATTGCAAGCAATTTTTTGGTGTCTTCCCTTCTTTTCAGTTGGCTCCTGCATGCGCACATCAGTGTGTAAAGACCTGAGTGTGCTTCTTAATGCAATAATTTCCCTGCAGTTCTCCTTTTTTTCTTTCTGGTGTGCGTGTGTGCGTGTGTGTTTGCTTTTGTTTTGCACGTTTAGTTTCTTTTAAAAGTAAGAGCAAAAACAAATTAAATAAAACGCAATTGCACGATCGAATAAGTCTCCAGCGCTGTTAAGTAGTGCTTTTACAGCGATGGTTTTCTACTCCAGTTGCTCCTATTAGCTTGTGCTTTGATGGGGATTACATTTCAATGAGCTGCACGTTTCAAATTTTTTTGAACAACATAACGGACAGATTAATTCACTAATACCTACGTTTAGTTTTGAACTAACTCAGGAAACATTCTACTAATACCGTTTTTGTGTCTGCGAAAGAAATTTTTGTTGCAGTAGAGAAAATATTAACACCGATTTTCTATTTGGCTAACTTTTTTTTTCTTAAACTAGTTTTAGATTCTTAACTTCTGGGGGAATAGTTGACCAGAAGCTCAGCACTGAGACAAAACAGACATGAAAATGGGTTGCTATCTGCAGGTCGTACACGCAAACAAATATAAGGGCTGGAGAGTGTGACCTTGTTATGAATATTGCATCTTTTCCTTGTGTTTTGTTATGTAGGTGACAATATCCGTAGACGGGATACTGACCACTACGGGCTACACACAGGAAGATTACACCATGCTAGGCTCTGATGACTTTTTCTATGTTGGAGGCAGTCCTAGTACTGCTGATCTTCCAGGTTCACCAGTCAGCAATAATTTTATGGGTTGCCTGAAGGAGGTGAGTTGACGTTTGAATAGCAAAATGTAGCTGGAGGTGGGGCGGGTGATGATAGGTTGTGTGTGGGTGGGTGGCGGTTTGGGTGGGGGTGGTGGGGGAGTTGGGGAGTGGGGTGGGGGGTGGCAGAGGGACGACAACGACAACACTTCGCCCCAATTTGAAGAAACTTCCCCTGAGCGGGGAGCGAGGACGGTGAAACCTTTGGAGCTGTGGATCACCGTCGATGGCGAGAAAGTGATTTCAAACCGGGGTGAGTTAACGATCGATTTTTCCCCCCCCCCCGCCTGACTCTTCTCCCCGCAGCAGCCCAGCTGAGAGCGGACGGGTTGAGGTAAGTGGCCAACTTTGAAACGTTCCAGGATTCTCAACCTTCACGACCATTGGAGTTGGAGGCAGACTTACTGTGACTTACTGTTGCTCCTTCCACCTCAACACTGTGTTTTCTCCGGTTTACGGCTGTAACTCCACAGTTATTATTCACATGAATTAAGGCGGTGGGGGTGGGGGGAGGGGGGAGTGAAACGTCCTCTCTTTACATCTATTAATGAGATGGAAGTCGATAGTGTCAGATGTCTGAGAGACGAATGTTAAACTGATTGCACCTTCAATGGCGTCTAACAAGCGCCACATCTAGAAATTTGACATCTCCTGCACAGAACCTTCTCTCTACAAGGTCACACGATTGATTTGGACGAAAAAAGGCCCTTCGGCCCGTACGATCTCATCCTTCCACAGTACCTACCCCTATATATGAGGTCCTCTCTAAGGAGTTTTCCCTTGAAAACTGCAGTAGAACGAACAATTAATTTGACAATGACAATTCCATCACGTTAATCATTAAATGGTAATGCCGAAATACGGATAGATTGTGAAGTGAATAATTCCTTTACTAACCACGATGCTTAACAATGCAGTTCTCCTGGTGTTTCTTAATTATAGTCAAATTATTACCGTCTTTTCAATGATAAAGATCAGGAAATATTCATGCAACTTGTAAAGATGAGCACAGTTTCCTAATCAGTGTTCCCACTCTATATCCAGCTTCTCACCGTCTAATTGTGCCTTGCGAATGGTTTCTTTGCAGAATTTGTGCATATTGCCCATTGGACACTTTGCTGCTATCGTAATCGTGATCGCAGTCTTAAATTTTTGTACGCAATCTTAAATTAGGGGGCTGGACAGTTGCCTCATGGTTTTAGGGCATTTGAACAGCACTGATTTGACAACATAGCCTGAAATCTGCGCATTTATTTGTTTGCTTATTTCACATGATGAACAACAAATCAACCAAAACTCATAGGTTTATTGCAACTTCCCCCTTGGCAACTTCTAATTCCATCTATGGAATGTATGTAATGCCTTGCATTTGTTTGGATAGAGTGACGGTGTTATACCCTTGTAAAATTATTAAACTGGGCAGTTTTGAAACGTTGTTCTGCCCTCGGCAGAACGCATGAATACATATGAATTTTCTGAGACAATTTTGAAAAATCAAGAACAAACTTATTAGGCTAAACAATTGGCGGATTTGAAGATTGAATGCCTCGGATTAGCTGAGGCTCGAATTGCATTCTGAATCTGGCCGAAATTGTTCACTGGAAAGTAAGACCAGAGCAAGGAGATGTTTTGCGAGAGCCACAGCTCATGAGGCCAATGGTAGAGCTTCCAAACATTGGGAGCTCTACCCATAATCACAGCAGGCATAAGAGCAAGGAAGGGTTCAGATGAAGAAGGCCTTTGAGACCATCTGATCTCATCCTTCCAGAATACCCACCCTACCATCCGCCAGTCACAGCGCCTAGCTTTGCTAAATGAATCCAGCACCACGGCGCGACATTCAGATTCACAGTCAGACAGACCGAAACCTCGCTCACAGTCCAAGTGCTGCATAAAACATTGCGAAAGACACTTTGCATTGCGCAATGCATCTATCCATTGAATTAAAAAAAAGGGCAAATGATGACATAGAATTACAAGGAAAGGTTACGGCAAAGAAATGGGACGTTCCACCCAAGCCGCCTGTGCCTGCGTTCATCCTTCACATGAGCAGCCTCCTCTCCTAATTCCTTCTCCTATACCACTCTATTCCCTTGCCTCTCGCGGATGTATCATTTTCCTCTTAAATGTATTGATGTTTTTCTGCTTCAACCACCGCTTCTGGCAGTGAATTTTATATTCTGACCACCCTCTGCGTAAAGACATTTCTCCTAAGCCCACTTTTATATCGACCGCTGGCTAACTTACACTTACGTCCCTTGGTTTTATTTGGGACCCACCGGCAAGTGGAAACAACCCGTTAACATCCACCTCATCAAATTCTTTCATAATTGCAAACACTTCCATCAGGTCTCCTCTCGATTGTCTCATCTTTTCAGGGAAAAGTTCCCACCTGGTAACATCCTAGTCAATCTGCGCTGAACCTCACTCCACTGCTGCACCATTCTTCCTGTTGTGCGGGAACTAGAACTGCATACAGTACTCCAAATGTGGTCCAACCAAAGTTTTATATAAACATAACAATACTGTCTACCTTCTTTTGGCTAATCCTCCAGCCGAGGACTCTATTTGCATTCTTTACGGGATGTGTCCACTTTGACTCTTGTGAATCTGAAACCCGAGATCATTTTGCTCCACTATTCCTCTTAGCTTCTTACCATCCCAATGCTAAGCTCTGCATTTCTAATTGTCCTTTGGTCAATCGGTGCGTAGAATTAGAGGAATTGGTTTTCAGAGTGCTGTTGAAGAATCACTTTTTCGTGCAGCTAAACCTGAATCATTCACTCAGATATAATTGAATAAGATAGATAATCCTTGCATTTTTGTATCGTGCCTCTTATGATCAGGTGGACATCTCAAGTACTCCATAGGACTCGGTGTAAGGTGCGGGGCCTGGGAATTCTGTAGGAGAACACATCAGGCAATTTGCACATAGAAATATCCACAAACAGCATTGAAGTACATGGCCCATTTTATTTGGAGGATTGTTGGTAGGACGGAGGGAGGATCTCCCTTCTCTTTACGAACAGTGGGATCTTTATTGTCCACCTGACTAGGCAGATGGAGCCTCGGTTTAACAAGCGATCTGAAGGGCAGCACCTCCGACAATGCTGTGTACCCGAGATGAGGCTTGAACCCATCACCTTCTGACGCAGAGGTGAATGTGCTTCCAACTGAGCAAGGCTGGCACCTAGTTATGGATGTAAACAGCTAGGTTCGCAAAATTGCAATCACGCTAATGTAGAATTTGCGTGCCCATTCAACATACTTAGCATTAAGAGCATCGCCTAATTGGTTTACAAAATAGTGCCTTAACAACTGAGAGTATTGACCCTCAGGGCATTTTACTACCCTTCCAAACAGCAGAATTACATGGATAGCTGCAGGCGTGTTCTTCTGCACTGCACTGAATGCTTTGTGACTCTATGTTTGCTCACTATCAAAAGCAGTCGTGAACAACTCTCGTAGAATTCAAACAGAATGAATCGCTGTAGCAACAGACAAGGCGTAAACGCGAGGTCAGCACTGTAACTATTCATTTGTTTGACTTGGATTTGGAAGAAAGTTGTGGATTCATTGTGGAACTGAGCAGATGAACTGGCTATAAGTTTTTGATCCAATAAAGTTTCAAATGTTGACGAATGGATATATCATGGAACGAGCCAATGTGAGTGAGTGTGGCTCTGGACACACGTTTCATTTGGTTTTACCAAAGGTTGGTCACGTCCAGAGTATCAGTTTTGCTCTTTAGTTCATCGTCTGGGTCACTGACACGTGCTGGCTGAAAAATACAATCTGAATTAACCCTGTCTGATTCAGCATGGTGGTAACATTGCTGTACAACAACTTAAATGTGGATTGAAACCAGTACCGTTGAACCATTGGTCATTTTCAAATCTATACTGCCTATGGTGCAGCCTGGTGATAATTTGATATGGGGTTTTATACCATTGTTGCGATGCCTCAAATGTATCTTCACAGAACCTTACTCTAAATTCAGTCCTTCGGATGAGACGTTAAATGAGAGGTCATTCATTTTGTTGGCTTTTTGCGGGACATTGCTGGGCAGAAATTGACTGCTGCGTTTGCCCCCAAAGCAGTCACTGAACTTCACAATATATCCTGTCAAGCGCTTTGGGATGTACAGCTGACTTGAGAGGTGCCACGCCAAATGTAAGGATGATGGCTATTATTACTTTTGGGGAAAGCGTCAGCGTATAAAATATGAGATGGCATATTGTTTCCTAAGGTTGCGACGGATATTCTCCCTGGTGACGGACGTGTAAATCAATCACGGGTCGATCCATTTCGCTAATGTCGTCAGCTACAGTTGGCCCAGTACCAATTACTCAAATTGGATCCAAGCTATTGCTAGACCCTCGTCATGATGCGCACATCAGGAGATTTGATGGTGGATCTCAAATTTATCTTCGTTTTGTTTTTCCCGAGGCTTTCCTTTGGAAATTGAAAACGGCCTCTTTTTGACAGGTCACCTAATCTTGAACGATGTGCGTGGAGATGAGATATTTGAGTCATTTGATGGATCATCAGGGACACTCAGTTGAAGAGGGGACTGATACCTTTAGGATTAACACTGAGGCTTGGATGTTTCTTTGCCAGGACAGGTTTTAGTGTGCTTTACCTAATCATTTATCCAGCACAGTTCAATTTTATTAGCCTCGAGTAGAATTTATTGTGCAAGTAATTTCACTAGGTGGTTCAATTAGTAGAACAAATGAATGTGCAGAACCCTGGTTCAGTTACTGATATGTTAGATATTAAAAGCGTATGAGGTCATTAAGTGGATCTGAAATATTAGGGTTAGACCTTCAGCAAACTTAAATTCTGGCCTCAAAGATAAAATGGTGCTTGAAAGTTAGGAAGGTGCAGTGATGGGGAAACGCCAGTGTACACCAACTAGCGATGCGCAATATCCTATCTGCCCTGTCAAGCGAACATTTATGATCTCATGCACTACTTGAAAAGAGAAAGGAGTCTTTTTC